TGGTTTACTCCCCAGCCTGCAATGAAGAGTAGGCAGGGGGGCGGGGCAGAGGAGCCGCGGCTGGACCAGAAGACTGGGGGATCGTCCGGACCGGGGAAGCCGACGGAACGGCTGAAGAGGAAGCCAGCACATCAGCGGAGGTACGAGGGGCATCAGCGGTATGCAGTGGTCTGCGTCCCCGCTGCCTCGGCCAACACAGGCGCGGAAAGCAGCGGGGATTTGAAAGGAAACAGGTCGCTGCTGCCACAGTTGCAGCGGCTGCCGGTACATTTAGGAGAACTGTGGACCCCGTTCGTAAGTACGGATTGTCCGTAACCTGGATACTGCTTGTATATCCCTCCTTCATTCTTTAAAACCTAATGGCAGCATATTAATTAGAAAGTAATATTGGTGATATTTCAACTTCCTGTTCATCATTTTGTATTCTATTGTTTCCTTTTTAAATTTAGATTTAAATGTATCTGTTTGTAAAAGGGTAATGAGATTTTCTTTCAGTAATAGATTGTAAAAGGAACATTGTCCTTTTGAATTAAATGCAACATGATTCATATACTAGTATCCTATACTTCTTGAAGGCTTTGTTGGTCAGATGTCTCCACTGAAATTACTGACGTTCTGTGTCTTCATTTAACAGAGAACTTAGGGAATTCCGCATCTTTGGGTGGATTTGTTAGGGCTTTGGTGAGACTGGGAAGAATCTTTAGGGAGAGCTTTCAGCCATAGCCCTGAAAGGAATAGGAGTCTTATTCAGTCTGCTATTATCAACCCAAAACTAAAATATTACCATAACTGCCTGTGGGGCATTTTGCAAGGAAGTTACCGAACTCTAGGGCTGCAGCTAACGATTATTATCGGTTAGTTAGTCGATTAACTTAGATTAATTGGATTTTAAAAAATACGTCATTTATTTAAAATAAAATAGACACATGCAGCGTTACAGACATAAAGTTTACTTCAGAATAAAACGGTATGCACATTTTTTGAAATCGCACTGCACTGGAATGCAGGGCATTACAGTAATGCACGTTCCAGTGCGGGCGATCACACTGCAGATGGGAGATGCATTTGTGATTTTGGACTATATATATATATAGTGGGAAAGGTATTTTTCAGTTTCTGCATTCATTTCATTTCAATGGCTCCTAAAAATAAATATATATTTATATTTATTTTGTTTTATAATTGTATGTAATATATTAGACATTTTAATTAGTTTCATGGATTTAAAATAATGTGAATTGTAAAACTCTTAAGCCAATATAATAAAATAACCAAACTTTTATTTAAAATAACACACCAACATTTTTTTTTACATTTTTTGTTTATTTACCTTTTTTTAAATTTGTTTTGCATTTTTTATTTTTATTTAACTTTTTTATTTTAACTTTTTCATTTTTTAGTCTTTTTAATTATTATTTAACTTTATTTTTTTAAACTTTTTTTTTTTACTTTATTGCTGGGGGCAATAGCCAGCCTGCTATTGGATTTTTCAAATTGCAATAGCCAATAGCAGGCTGGCTATTGCACCCACCCACTGCCTGCTGTCAATCAGCAGAGGAGGACCTGATGGAGAACTTTCTCCATCAGTTCCTCCTCTGCTGATTGACAGCAGGCAGTGGGAGGGTGCGATAGCCAGCCTCCTATGGGCTATTGCATTTTAAAATATCCAATAACAGGCTGTGTACGCTCCAAGCAATAAAGTTTAAAAAAACTCAAATTAAAAAGAGGTACGAGGGGTGGGGCAGCGGGGGGAATGCAGAGTCACCACTGTCTCTTCTCCTCGCTGGTGCCGGCTGCAATGGTCTGCGTCCCCACTGCCTCTGCCGATTTAGGCGGTGAGAGCAGTGAGGATTGAAAGGGACACAGACCGCTGCAGCCAGCACCAGCGTGGAGGAGAACAAAGGAGCAGAGCATTGGCAAATAATCGTAAAGCAACTAATCGATGATGAGAATCGTTGCCAACGATTCTCATTATTGATTACTATTAATTTAATCGATTAGTTGTTGCAGCCCTTCAAGACTCTTTTCAGTTAATATGTATGAATGTACTGTGTATAGGTAGACTTACAGTCTGACAAGAGCTCTACATGTGACATATTACCCTTAGTAGAAATATTTAGTCAGGGGTTGATTTCTATAGGATCTGTTGGGCCTGAATTCTTTCTTGAAACAGATTACAAGAGTCCACGGTGCTTCCCATATTTATATTTTTCAGGTTTTTACGTGCTTGTAAAACAGCCATATTGGTTCCTGCAAAAGTTGATGCAATATTTGTTTTCTCTTAATAATAAAATGCTTTACAACTACCATTATATCTATATAGGTCTGCTACCGTCGCAGTGGGCATAATGAAATGGATGAACCCATGTTCACCCAGCCATTGATGTATAAACAGATCCATAAACAGGTCCCGGTGTTGAAGAAGTATGCAGACAAGCTGATCTCTGAGGGCATTGTTTCCCTGCAAGCGTTTGAGGTACAGTGCATCCATCCACTATTAACATTGTTGTATTAACCTTTTCACTGCCACCGACTTAAGGCTTGTGGCGGAACACAACTGCTTCCAGCTGGCCAGCTCAGTAAGCCTTACGTCAGTGACTTTTAATGTTCTGCTGTAAGCACGTGGTCGATTTAGCGACCATGAACTTATACCAGAACCGTTCCCCCAACAGTCCCCTATAATCTGCAGCCTCTCCGTTCCTCTGTGTGCTGAACAAACATTGGAGTGATCAGCTGAGCCAGTGTTTGTAAACAACTGGGGACATGTAGTACTATGTGTCTCCAGTTAAGAATGAACACGAAGTGCTTTACATCACTTCTGGTTCATTTATTAATTTCTCAATGGGTGGAAGCCTCAGTATAGAGACTTCTATCCATTCATAACTGGGTGATAGTAAATGTTTTGCTATCACCAATTATGAATAAGAAGCCTCTGTACGGAGTGCTTTCTATTAGGGATGCACCGATATATCGTCCGCCGAAACATATCAGCCTAAAATGGCATTTTTGGATGAATGCCGAAAGTGCAATTTTTGTGCTGATGCAGCGGTGCATCCGTGCTTTCTTTCCTCCCCGCTGGGCGCTGCTCTATGTCCCACCAGGGAGGAGAGAAAGTGTGACAGCCGGTTGAGCGCTGCGGGAGGAGAGCGATGTGAGCGGCCATCGTCTCTCCTCCCACACCGCTCAGCCTCCTGTCACAGTCCTGCAGAGCGGTGTGTGGGCGGAGACAGCCCGCGCTGTCACAAGAGGCTGAGCTCTCCTCCCTGCAGCGGTCGCTCAGCCTCCTGTTACATCGTGTCAGGAATGAGAGCAAGTGCGAACACTCACCGATCAGTGATCACTGAGTGTTTGTACATAATTGAAGACATAGTATGGTTACTATATCCTCAATTATGAATGCATGGGAAGTGACCTACATCACCTCCTGTTCATTGATGATTGTGGTTATAGTATGTCCTCATGTTATGAATGAACAGGAACACTCATAGAGGATTCCTGTTCATTGATAACTGGGGCTGCAGAAAAGAGATCGAGGACTTTGTGTCCTCCATCTCTTTTTCTATTTTAAAAGGTAACTATCAGGGGTCTGTATAGACCCCTAATATTTCCCTGAAGCCCCTAAAAGTAAAGTAAAAAATATTTAATAAAAAATGAATTATTAAATAAAAATAAATACAACAACATTCAAAAGTTTATAAAAATAAAATATTTAAAACAAATTGTAAACATTTAAATAAAAAAAAATTTTGTTTTCGGCCTGACAATTTTCTTTATTTCGGTTTTGAAATTTCCATTTCGGTGCACCTCTTATTTCTATTCATTGAGGCTGCAGAAAAAGAGATTGAGGAATCTGTCCTCATTTTCTTTTTCTCGTTCCAAAAGGAAATGTCAGGGTTTTGTTTATACCCCAGATATTTCCTCTAAGCCCCCCAACAGTAAAAAACAAACAAACACATAAACCCCCTTCCCCCACACAGACAAATAACATACACTTGCAACAGTGTGCACCATATTGTGGTGTACGCCATGTATGTTGTACGGTACGTTGATAGAACGCATCGCATGGCTTGATATTTAAAAAAAAACAAAACATTAATTTAACTGTGCGGCAGCACATGGCAAAGTGTTGTGTTACATTGCCACGTGTTGTGATCCGTGTTGCGATTGAATGTACGCCTGTATAATTTTATAACAACACACACACCAATATAGTGCACAAACAATTTAGAACATACGTCGCTGATTTATAGTTTTGTGGTAGTTCATTTTTTTTACCAATTTGCAAAAAGGCATAATTTAAAAATTACAAATATGTTTTATTAACTCAATACAGTTTTATATTTCAGATTTTGTCGGAAAACATTTTTTGTTGTGCACTGATACTGATTTTAGTGTGCTAGAACAATGCTAACTGATAAAAGTAATGGCAGGTGCAGAGAGCACAGGAAGTTATCCTATCACAATATTACTGGCAGAATCAACAGATACATTTTTGCTCTTCTCAAACAAATATAACAAATCATTTGCAATGGTGTATTTAACAGACCAGAAGGGAGAAAATAGAAGTTCATTGTTAGTTTTTACTTAAACTTCAGTGGATAGCTGGGTGGGTCGTAGCCTCAGGGGGCAGAGCTTAGTCAAGCAAGAGAAGTATAGTCCTTAACAATAGAGTAAAACCAGGTTTGGAGGGCAGCATAGAAAAGTGTTTTCTGGCTAATAAATGTAAATACAAGTGTCTTGTACTGGTTACCCTTACAAAGGAGCTTTAGTCCTAAAAGTTTAGAAGTACTGACAGGTCACTTTAAGACTCATATCAAGCCCATAGGCTGCTGTCTCGCATTTTTTTATCGCAAATGGTGTTCAGTGAGAGATATAATAGTGCTCATTAAGTTTGTGCACCTCCTAATGGTAACCTTTTTCACAACTCAGCTTTATAAGAGAAGACAGCCACTGAGGAGTCTGATTTTGCAACAAGCTGTAAAATCTCTACAAACTGACTGCAAGCACATTCCAACACAGGCACAACATCGCATACACTGCCAAACTGTCTGAAGCGATATCAGCCTTGACGGCAACCCTTGAGAATGTTGTGCTCTGTACAGTGTAGCTGTCCTTATTTTAACTCATTTTTAGTGATTATGAGCCATTGCAATATTTTATTAGAAATATTCAGAAGGTGATTTGGTGTGCTGTCTTCTTGATATTACTAATGAAGTATGTAGGCTAGAGCAGCGGTCGCCAACCTTTCGGACCTCATGGACCACTAAATTGATCATTTTTAATCCTGCGGACCACTAATATGAATTAAAAAATATATATATTCTCATATTTAAAAAAAATTCCTCCGCCAATCGAACCTGCCACTGGCCTTGGCGGCGCCCGGAGCATATGCCCCCCCTACCTTCAGCACTGCCCCCAACCACACCCGTGCCTCCCCTTTCCCCACACTGAGCCACTATTACCTGGCTTCTCCCCACTTTTTCTATGTCCCGCAGCCTGCTTAGTCCGGGTACTGACGAGATGCCCCGCCTTCTGCAGAGCTGCTTGAGTGAGTCAGTGAGAGGCAGCCCCGGAGCCTCCGTGCCGCTTCAAAGACGGCCCAGCCTGCACGGCATCAGGGGGCCACCAAAATTTTCTTACGGACCACTGGTTGGCGACCGCTGGGCTACAGAGTATTATATTCTTTGAGCAGAAGGGATCTCGTTCGTACGCTTACCATGCATCTGTTTGTACAATCTCTATACAACCTTCAATTATGAGGGCCTACCTGGACAATACACTCAATTTATATCAGTTAGGCAGTCCATTGTACTAGATAGTTATAGGAAGATCAAAAGGAGATTGCACAATCACATTGTAAAACATGTGCTCACAGTTTACCACAAACATTGCAATATGACTATACAATCTCCTTTGAATCGACCAACAGTTATGTAGTGAAACGGCCTGCCTTAGGGCTTGTTCACACCATTTTCTGGTTCAGATATGGAGCAGATCTACAGACGCTGTGCAATGCGTGCAGCGCGTTTTTGATGTTTTTTTTACCGCGTTCCGGACGCGTTCCAGTTTTTTTTTGGGGGGGGCGGGCTGTCAGTAAACAGATTTTTGCTCTGAGGTTGTTGTCCTTATGAGACCAGGCAATAGATAATGCCTATTTTGTAATGCAGCTTGGAGATTCCTCCCTCCCCCCAGTTGTGGCTGCAACTAAATGTTTTGGGTACTGTATGTTGGACAGTCTTGCACACAGGCTCTAGCAGCCAGCTGGGGTGAGCAAAGAGGGAGGAGGGAGTGTGCCGGGTGTCATATATGGACAGAGGGGACAAAAGAGCACTGCATCGCAAAGAATGGGAAATCTTCCTGCAGCATAATTACCCCCAAATGTACTACTTTATTTGGATAACATGACCAGCATACAGTAAAGGCAACATACAAGATATGTGATATCACTCACCGCAGTCATGCTTTTGCACACTAGTGAACAAAGCAAAATCTTCTTGGAGCTTGGAGGCAATCGGGGTCATAAAGCTGTGGAACATGCTCCACCAAACCCACAAAACGTTCGGTGTCCTCGGGACATGTTGCGCAACTGTACAGGGTTTCCTTCTGCTGCTCCACCACAAACATGAAGTCCAACATTGATGAGATCATTAAAAGTGGAGCAAGAATACACTTTTTTTTTTCCAGTTAGCTGCAGTGAGGTGTGTTTCCGGTGCGTTTTCATCGCGTTTTTGACGCGTTCATACACGTTTCTGTGCGTTCCGAACCAGAAAAAATGTGACATGCAGTATTTTTTTTGTCCGGAACGGAAAGCACTGTGCTGGTGTGAACTGGAGCCCAGAAAACACATAGGGACACATAGTGATGTGTTTTTAGTGCAGGAGCTAACTGGTCTGGACAAAATCCGGACATCGTGTGAACAAGCCCTTATTGGATGCACATTAAATGGGCAGTTAAGTAGGTCCTCATATTACATAATTATGGTAAATTTAAAAGAGCTGTTATAAACCAACGTTAAAGGATATATATATATATTTACTGTATATATACCCTGTATATACAAAACAGAATAAAGGTAATATGAACAATCATACTCCTTTATTAATTTTGCTCTAAAATGTAAAGTTTGGTAAGTCAGTTTTGAATATATCCACTTTTATTCTGTTTTCATTTCTTCAGTTTTTAAAATTGGACTCTTAATATCTTAATGCAGGAAGAGATTGCCAAGTATGACAAGATTTGCGAGGAGGCGTATACACAGTCTAAGGACAAGAAAATCCTTAACATAAAGCATTGGTTGGACTCTCCATGGCCTGGTAAGCTAAAAATCTGTTTGGTGGCTCTGGAAAGCTAACTGTTATGAATGTGACAACAGTAAACTTTTTCTCAATTTTGCAGGATTTTTTACATTAGAGGGAGAACCAAAAAGCATGACCTGCCCCCCAACGGGTATCACCGAGGATATGCTTTCTCATATTGGCAATGTTGCCAGCTCTGTCCCAGTGGAGAATTTTAAAATCCATGGAGGCAAGTTGATCAAATGTTTTCTGTTTTCTTTAAATAAATAAAAAATAAAGTAAATTAATAAAAAAAAAGGGAATATATAAATGTTGGCACCCCTGCATTTCTGTCAGATAATGCACCACTTCGCGCAGAAAGTTGTTGCAATTACAAATGTTTAGGTATTCTTTTATTTATTTTGTTTGTATTGGTATGACACAAAAAAGTGGAGGAAAACAAAAGCCAAATCTGACACATTTCACCCAAAACTCCAAAAATGGACTGGACAAAATTATTGGCAACTTCAATTAATAAATGATAGCACAGCCCTTGGAAAAAAAATTACTGAAATCAATTGCTTCCTGTAACCATGAATGAGTTATGAGTTTTTTTTACACCTCTTTACAGGAATTTTGGACCATTCTTCTTTCGCCAACTGCTTCAGGTCTCTCAGATTGGAAGGGTTCCTTTTCTCAATGGCTGTTTTAAGATCTCTCCACAGGTGCTCTATGGGATTTAGATCTGGACTCAATGCTGGCCAGTCCAGTACTTTCCAGCGTTTTGTCTGGAACCATTCTGGGTGTTTTTTGTCATGTGCTTTGGATCATTGTTCTGCTGTAAGACCCATGACCTCTGATGGAGACCCAACTTTCTGACACTGGGCCCTACATTGCACCCCAGAATTCTTTGGTAGTCTTCAGATTTCATAATACCATGCACACCGTCAAGTCATCCAGTGTCCTGAAGCTGCAAAGCAACTCCAAAACATCAGTGAACCTCCACCATGTTTAGCTATAGGGACTGTATTTTTTTCTTTGAAGGCCTCATTTCTTTTTCTGAAAACAGTAGAATGACAGGCTTTACCAAAAAGCTGTAATTTTGTTTCGTCTAGCCACAGCACATTTTCCCAAGAGCATTTTCGCTTCCTCAGGTAGGTTTTGGCAAACTCCAATCTGGCTTTTTTATGTTTCTATGTCAGCAGTGGGGTTCTCCTGGGTCTCCTACCATAGCGTCCCTTTTCATTCAGATGGCGACATATAGTGCGAGCTGACACAGTTGTACCCTGTGCCTGAAGGTCAGCTTGAATTTGTCTGGAAGTTGATCGAGGGTCTTTATCCACCATTCCAACAATCCTTCATTGCAATATTTGATCAATTGTTCTCTTTTGTCCACATCCAGGGAGATTAGCTACAGTGCCATGGGCTGTAAACTTCTTGACAATGTTGTGCACAGTGGACACAAGAACAATAAGCGGTTATGTCAGTCCAGATGTGCCGGAGCTTGTGACTACGATGCTGGTCTGCAAGAAACGTTTGGAAATGATTTTTTTGGATGGGGAGAGACTCTCTGGTCAGTCTTTAGATGCCTTTATTACGGAAGTCACTTTCGAGAAGAGTACCTTCTTACCTAGTAAGAAAAAAGTAAAGATTCCCACAACTAAGTCAACCATGCAAGAGTTTTGAAAAAGTTCCTTTCATCCCGAGCTAAGTCTTGCACCTAGCCCACCTAGCAATAAAGGGGCCCCTCCCACTTCAAGTGGGGGGGATATGCTGACCTTCTTGGCCACCTGTAATCGGGACATTATGGCTCTTTGGGTCATAGAAGTGGTGTCCTGGGGATAGAGACTGGAATTTTTTTCTTTTCTTTTTTCTTTTTTTTTCCTCTTTCCGCTTTATACCATCTTCCCTCATCTGCGTAGAGGTTAAGGGTTCTTCATGCTGCCTTGAACTTTCTACACTCTTTGAGAGTGATTGTTCCAGTTCTTTGGAGGGACGCTTTCCAGGGTTTTACTCCAACCTCCTTACGGTTGGAAAACCCAGTGGGGGTGTACGGCCCATCCTGATCTGAAGGTTTTCAATACACTGCTTCTGATCCAAAAATTCACAAGGGGAAATCCTGGCATCGATAGACAGGAACAATACGTGCATGTACTCATCTTCGCTCATCATGGTTCCTGAGCTTTGTGGTGGGAGAACAGCCCTTGTTTGTGGCTCCTCTCTAACGCCTGTACAAACCCCCTGGGTCTTTACTAAGGCACTGGCCCCGATTCTTGTGCTGCTGCACTCTGCATTCATTATCCACATTGTGTGGTATCTGGATGATCTCCTTCTGAAGAAGTGCTCAGCCCAGGCCCTCTCTGTCAATGTCTAGTAAATGCTCCAGACACTTCAGAACTTTGGGTGGATCCACAATCTATCAAAGTCTGCACTGTATCTGACCCACCACCTGGAGTACCTGGGCCTATTCATGGACATGGTGTTTCTCCCTACAAGAACATCTTGATCCTTCATTCTTAAATTTGGACCCTTTGCTTCAAGAAGCTACCATTGGTCTGGTTTTGCAAGAGGGTTCTGGGCTTAATGGTAGCCTCCTATTGAGGCAAAAATGTTTGCCCAGGTTCACTCCAGGCCCCTTCAGCTGAACATTCTGATGGTGTGGAACAAATTGCCCCAGTCTCTGGATCTATCCATATGCCTGTATCCCAAAGCCAGGATCTCACTGACTTGGTGGCTGATCAGCCTGGCTCTGGAGGAGGGTAAATTGTTTCTCTTGCCAACTTGGATTGTTTTTAGAATGGATGCCAGGCTGGCTGGGTAGGAGTTCTTGGGACAGAGATGGACCAAAGGACTTGGTCCTGGAGGGACTCTAGACTTCCCATCAATGTTTTGAAGCTCAGGGTACTTCACCTGTCCCACCAGAGGTGAGACAGATTGGCTTTAGGGGCGGCCGACAAAGAGATTCAGTTGGACAACACCATGGCTGTGGCTTATGTTAACCATCAGAGTGGCACCAGAAGTCATATGGCCCAAGGGGAAGTGGACTTGATTCTGACCTGGCCAAAAAGCATGCTTTAGTCTCCCGGAGAAGATAAAGGAAGGCAGACCTTCTCAGTCGCCAGTGCCTGGTCACGGGGGAATTATCTTTTTACCCCAATGTGTTTTGGCGAAATCTGTTGCTGTTGCAGATGTGGATTTCTTGGCATCTTGCTTCAACAAAGTAGACAGGTTCGTAGTCAGGACCAGGGATCTTCAGGCCTTTGCAGTGGACACACTAGTGACCCCATTCAGCTGATGCCTTTTTTATTCTTGTTTTGGATAGAGTGGAGAACTTCCTGGTTTGTATGACAACTGCCACATGCAAAGAAAGTGAGAAGATTACTCAGTAATGGGAACAATGATATTAACTTCCTTACAGAAATTCTAAACATTCCTTATCCTACCAGAAACTTTGTTTTATATTTCTGCCTGTGCCCCAACTGGGAACTTTACCCTAGAAAAATATCTCCCAAATGGGAAGACAGTCGGCAATAAAAAAAAGTGAAAAGTTCTAATCTTTTTACGTTCTATCTAAAACAAAATACAAATGGCTGAAATTAAGTTGTAATTTGTTTAATTTATACATAATTGCATTAATTTTGTATTTTTCTATCTGCCTGGAACTGAGCTGTAAATGGTGCCTTCACTTGATGTTAGGACAAGCATGCATTATGATACATGTATACATTATTTTTCTTTGGCAGTCAAACTCATGCTTTACTATTATGGAAGTATTAACATCAGCATGTTTAGTTAGAATGTCCTCAGGCTTATTAAGTAATAGACTGAGGATCACCTTCCATGTTTATTTAATGGAATTACATGCTATTAATTATAAATATTAGAGGTTTATGAACCTTTTAACAGCTGTGGCCTTTTAGTGGTGATGAAGTGTAATTCGAATATTGAACAATGTGGGTGGATGCCACAGCATGTCAGTATGTACGTCTGGGTTTGAATGTAGCAATGTTTAGAATAAAACCTTTTATTTTTGATTGTGCTTTTTTGGTGTTGGTGATACAAGTTTATTGCACACAAATCCTTTATTTTTGTGTATTAATAATTTTGGATTAAAATGTGTTTTTTACATGTGTATTAGTAACATGCAAATGTATATTCTTGAGCGTGGAGATACTGTTATGTAAATGTGTTCGAAAGACTGGCACAAATGTATCATTATAATTAATGGCTTAGACATTTTTTATTCATTGCAGACATTTCAAACCTGTAAATATGATGATTTATGGTTTCTATTATAATATTTGCACCAGATTATTGCCCTCTGGTAATACTTTTACAGCTTCCTCAGGAACCCTACAGCTATACTTGCTTGGCCTCTGAGATTAATAGAATTCTTCTATAAATGTTGCTTCCTTTATTTCAGGTTAAAGGAGAACTATGAGGTGAGTGCTTTTCACTCACCTTATAGTTCTAGCCGACCTGTGACAATGAGACTGTCACAGGTCGGCTTAGTAGATCGGGAGGTGAGCGAACACATACCGGCGTTCGCTCACCTCTCGATGCTGCCACGGCTCTCTGCCGTGACAGGGGAGGGGCTGGATTCTCTCCTCTCCTGTCCGATCCGCCAGCGCTGACTGGCGGAACAGACGAGGGAGGGGGCGGGTAGATAGCCAGCTGTCAGTCACGCAGCTGGGCGGATCCAGACATAATTGTGCAGCTTGCGGTATACTGCGGCGTCTCAGTATACCGCGAGCTACAGTTAGCGGTATACTGAGCCTAGGGTGACGGGAGGACGCTAGTTTGTGTCCTCCCGTTACCCTAAGGAGAACTATGGGAAAAAGCCTTAACCCCATAGTTCTGCTTTAGAGGATATAATAGAAATTATCTATCAAGAAGCAGCAGTTATTTCGTATTATATTGTATTTAGCTGTTCTCAGATTGTGACATGCTGCCCTGGTATATATTGGAACAGGGGTCAAAATTTCAAGTCATGAGCTACTAGCCAGCCCTTAAGAGTTACTCCCTACCCCCCACATATAAAATAATACAAACCCCCCCCCATTCCCTGGCCCCCCACATATAAAATAATACACTCTCCCCCCTGTTCCCTGCCCCCATTCACATATAAAATAATACATTCTCCCCCTGTTCCCTGCCCCCTCACACATTAAGTAAGAAGCCCTCCTGTTCCCTGCCCCCTCACACATTAAGTAAGAAGCCCTCCTGTTCCCTGCCCCCTCACACATTAAGTAAGAAGCCCTCCTGTTCCCTGCCCCCTCACACATTAAGTAAGAAGCCCTCCTGTTCCCTGCCCCCTCACACATTAAGTAAGAAGCCCTCCTGTTCCCTGCCCCCTCACACATTAAGTAAGAAGCCCTCCTGTTCCCTGCCCCCTCACACATTAAGTAAGAAGCCCTCCTGTTCCCTGCCCCCTCACACATTAAGTAAGAAGCCCTCCTGTTCCCTGCCCCCTCACACATTAAGTAAGAAGCCCTCCTGTTCCCTGCCCCCTCACACATTAAGTAAGAAGCCCTCCTGTTCCCTGCCCCCTCACACATTAAGTAAGAAGCCCTCCTGTTCCCTGCCCCCTCACACATTAAGTAAGAAGCCCTCCTGTTCCCTGCCCCCTTTCACATATAAAATAATACATTCTCCCCCTGTTCCCTGCCCCCCATGTAAAATAAAACAAGGAACCCCCCTCACCTGCTTGTCTTTCTGCAGGGAGGAAGTGAGCAGGAACGATCCCTGGTGATCTAGTGGTGATCAGTAAGGTCTGCTGCAGACCTTACTAATCACTTTGTTTTCGGCCGGAGCTCAGTGAAGAGCAGCGGCTGAAAGAACAGAGAGCCCAGCAGGAGCAGCTGCTCCCAGAAGTCAGTTTGCGGTCCGTGACCGCAAGCCTGACTGAATTTCCACTCGCCAAATGCATTCACACTAGTACAGTGCATTAATCGCATAGTACCATGCAATTAACGCACTGTACCACGCAATTGCACCTACCATGCATTCTGATGTGTGCGGTGTGTTGAGTTGCCATTCATTTCAATGGTACCCCAAACGCACCTCCCACCCACAGTTCATAGGCTTGCACTGTACCCTAATGACCGAGGACAAATGTGGGTCCTGAGGTTACGCAGGTTGAGAACCACTGCTCTAGAGGGTGCATCATCACATAGGCTCAACTCAGTACACCAAGACCGAGGGACTATCACACGTCATTATGTGAATATTCTCCCCGACTCCTATATGTTGGTTAAGTGTTTAGATGAAGCACTGAGAACTTGAGGACTGATGAATTAAGTTTTACTTGCTCAGAAGAACATTACACGTATGAATATAGCATTGTTAAGGCCTGGTTCACACCTAGGCGTATTGCATATGCGCGTCTGTCGCGCGTTTTTTTAACCGCAATTCGCGGTAAAAAAATTGCACGACAAACGCACGTTTCCGAGGGCTACTTGGCTGTATCCAATGGAAACGCGAAACAAGAACGGCCCAAAGTAGTACATGTACCTTTTCAGGCGTGGGCCGTTTTGTAGCGCGTTAGGGACGGGCTGAAATACGCCAAGGTGTGAACCAGACCCATTGAATACAATGGGATTTAGATGTTTGAGCGTTTTGTAGAGCGTTCGTCGAGCGTAGAACGCGCTACAAAACGTTCAGGTGTGAACGAGGCCTAATAAAAAACTTCCTTTGTATCATAGATAAGCATGCACATAGAGACAAACATTGCACTACAGTGCTGTCTACACCTCAAAGTACATAAGTATATGCTGTTGCATTTCCAACACTATAGACCCAGAAATGAAGCTAATGGAGAATGATCTGTGCACATAGCATCAATGCAATGCAGAGAGGACCTCAGGGGTCTTTAGGAGAAGCTCATTTCAGTATATTATATTTTATTAGCTAAGTATATTTTACGTACATTCATATTTATTGCCTTCTATTCTTATGCTGGCTTTGCTAGTACAAGAACAGGGTCTATTCACTGAAGGTTGAAGAGTTTGGAGAAGGCAGAAGTGAAAAATCTAGCCCAAAATAGTCGATTTGGAAAAATTCTCTAATTTGGCTAACTTTCCAGTTAATCTATGTTGTCCTAGAGTGTTCACTTCCCCTGCCTTCTCCAAACTCTTCACCCTTTTGTGAATACACCTTTAAGTCGTCAGCTCTGCTGTCTCTTCCTATTGCTATGCATCCTGTCAGTACATATGCATGCATCAGATCCTTATTGGCTCCTAGTGCTACTGAGCATTGGAATTTAGAAACCTGAAATCAAGCCAAATTCAGGTACTTATGCAAACTGTATGTAAAACTATTTTTTTTTTTTTAAATATGCAACTGCAATTAACCTCTTGCCGTCCGCACGTGGTAGAAAAACGGACGGACGGCACTGCTGCATTGGCGGGTTGCCGTCGCCAGACGGCATTTTTTTTCTACTCGCGCACGCCCCCTAGCGGGCACGCACGGGCAGAAAAGACCCGTCCATTTATATCTGCCTGGAGTTATGGTTTAACAATAATCTAAATACAGGGCCCATTCTTGTGTTTATGTAGGATCATACTAAAGTCTGTTTCTACAATCTTTTATCTGTACAAATTTGGTTCATGCAGTTATTTATTCAGTTAAGCTTGCCATACACTGCTCAAAAATTCGGCTGAGTCTTGGCGACTTGGCTGAAATTCCAGCTGTTGGTTAGAAGCACTCAGAAGCGCAGCCATAGTTTAGACAGCTGTCCAAATACAATAGCCAACAGTGGAGATTCTCCCATCCACACTGTTAAGAGTGAATGGGAGATTCTAGCATAATTTCTTGTTCTGCCTACATGGTTAAATAAAAAGAAACAAGTGTTTGGCCAGCTTTCGTTAGCAACACATTAGGCCTCAGTTTTACATTTGCTTTATGTCTCTTACTACAAATCACACCAAGTAATAACAGGACACCTTATCTATATAGTATAGAGAAGTACAGAATCCACTTTTTTCATAGTAACATTGTAAACTCATGCTGTCTTTATCATTAGCATAGATGAAAGTGTTACTTGTATTTTATTCCTGAAGAACTCTAGGTGGCAATACAGTCAGTGTGTATGGTGATTGGTGTGGCTTTTATTGCAGTCAGGATGAATGCTACAGTACATGATACAGCGTTTTGATGGATTGTTTTAAGCCTGAAATACTTCAACATCTCCCAAACTCCCTGCCTTGTTGTCAGTATGAATCTGCTTCATAATCATACATTTTTTATTGTACTAAAGGCAAAATATAAGAACATTGAATATATGTAGCCAAATTCAATTTGGTATCTTACAGCTGACCTTAAAATGGACAGTAATTCATGTCAGTAATTCAATTTTTCTTTTTTCAGGTCTCTCCAGGATCTTGAAAAGTAGATTGGAAATGACACAGAATCGGCTGGTAGACTGGGCATTGGCTGAGTACATGGCATTTGGGTCATTGTTGAAAGAAGGGATACATGTCAGGCTGAGCGGCCAGGATGTTGAAAGGGGAACATTTAGGTAAGTATTCTTTTGTTTGTCACACTCATAGCAAATACATATTGGACACAAAGCATGTAACGACACTATTAAGGTATATTAAAACCATTATTTATAAAGGTGTATCTATGCACTGGTGGTTTGGTACTGTTGCACACTTAAAGTTATATTCTTGTTACAAGTATGATTTTTGCAGGCAGGGGTTAAAAGAAAAAGTTTTAGCCTATTTCCGGTTGGCGGAAGGAGTGTTAATGCAAATTACCATCACATCTGTATTGCCGATTATAGTGAAAAAGTTTATCTAGTAGGACCATGCCCTGACACCTGTCACATTATTACCCACCCAGCAGAGCCCTGTCACAATAAGCCTTGCTTAGTTTGGCTCTAACTCCTGTCTTTGACAGGTTATTTGTTGTATGAAAGAAAGAAAAGTTAGCCCGTTTAGTGTGCATGCACACGAGGAATCACACTAACATGCCAAAAGTATCAGAATAACAATTCCTCCTTTATTGGGTGAACTCATATCTTTAAGCACTTGCTGAACAGGTGTCTACACCCCCTTTCAGTATTCAGCATTGCAGTACTTTGACATTTGTTCCAACATTTTATTCCAACATTTAGTGCAACACTGTACTGAAATGAATTGTATACAATTTTTTGGGGACAGATAGAGCTTTCTTTTGGTGGTATATAATCACCACTGGGGTTTTTATTTTTTACTATAAAGGAAAAATTACTGAAATTTTTGGGAAAAAAAGCTTGCGCTCGATGTCATGTCATATAGACATGGCCTGTTACATCCAGAAAGCTCCCGGCCGGCCTTTTTGTTAAAACGGCCGACCAGGAGGCGGTTACAGGCCTTAAGCCTTTAGGCGCCCTGTACGAGAAAGCTTTACAGCGCCCCTCAGTGACCACACCCTTTAGTGACCACACCCTTTAGTGGCCACCCCCCCCCGGTAACCACACCCTATTTTCCCAATATCCGCACCACTTAAAGACTCCTATTTTGTTAAGCCGCAAAGAAACATATTAAAAAGTATGGTAAAAATAAAAACTTTTATTCAAAGGTATTAAACTTGTCGGCACAATAAAAGTATTCTTATTAAATAAAACAACAGAAGGTAAACAATAAATGTCAAACTAAAATAGAGTCTATAAAAATAAAGTGTCAGGTTGTCATGCCGACCCCTTTTTTCAAGTAAGTGCATCTAGAAAAGTAAAAATAGAAAACGGAACACAAAACCCAGAATACATGTAAATTAATGAATTACTATATGTCTGAATATACGAAAAATGTATTCCGGCACGTAATAATTTGAGAATGTGCGCCGGCCATGTTGGCCACCTGTGTGTTCTGTGAATACATGCCACCATCTTGGAGGCGGGAAGCATGACGTTGCATGACGCCATGCATGCGTGGCGTCAGGTGACGTCACACACCGATATTGGCCCCACCATCTTGGTGTATACCTAGATATACACCAAGATGGCGGCGCCCAACACGTGCGGTGTTATATGACGTAATGCGTCCTGCCTCCAGAACACGCCAATTGCTGAATCCAAAATAGCATAAAAATGTGTTTTGCTTGATGAAAAAAATGTAAACTTTTCTAGTTTTCGTTCATTTCATCTGAAATGAATTTTTAGTCTTTGCACATGTCTAATAATATGTGTGTGTGGGGGGGCAGTTTTCACTTTTTAAAAATAATGAAAAAATAATCCTTTCGGCCAGCGCTCTTTCAGTGAACGCTGGCCGAAAGGATTGTGCAGGATTGATTGGTAAGGTCTGCAGACCATACTAATCAACCACCTG